TTTTTTTACATCTGGAAAACAGAAGAAAATTGACTGTTTTAATGTGGACGGTTAATGAAGCAATTAATGAAGCGGTTAATGAAGCAATTTAATGAAGCAATTAATCTTACATCTACTAACAGAGGATTCAGAACTATAAATCATATGGTGGCCACATATGAACAGACAAAGAAAGGACTAAGCTATTTTTATCCAAAAAGACAAGTACAAGATGATGGAATTCATACAAAACCACTGAACTTATAAGAACTGATCTGGTCAAGTAAACTTATTCATGATGTTGTATTATATTGGGTTTATGATGTTAAAATGTAAAATGTTGCGGTAAACTTGTTATACAATGCAGTGATTTATATACTTTCTTTGTAATTTAAACTTTTTTCTCAGAAAACTTGACTTTTTTCGAAGTCTCTGTAGGTTCAGAATAGATTCAGATAGGTAGAAAGTAAAAGTATCGAATAAATTTTTATTAGATCAAGTTAAACAAAATCTTATCATGTTTTGAATTTTTTCGAAAAAATTTTCACAAAAATTCCAAGTTCTTACCCAAAAAACTCTTACCATCGACTTACCATATATCAAAAAACTAATTGAAAGCCCTTCATTACACAACCTACTCGTAATTAAACTTTGATATTTAACAATTAGGTAACGGGCGCCGAAATTTTTGCGAAAAAATTAGAATTTTCCATTCAAAAACCAAAAAAATTACGTTTTTCTTTCTCTTACCATCACACTGAAACCTTACCATCGGTATTCCCTATCTTAATACATTGTAGACTCTATACCCAATCGTAATACATAGCTGGCGGACCGGATGCTCTATTCCCTATCTTAATACATGGAGGTCCGCCACCTCTCCCCCCCCCCCTGATCACCTCCAACATCTACTTCTCAAATGACTTTAATTTAGAATCAAAACTAATGGTTGACGGAATTAACCTGCCCACTACTCGCGATCCCAAAACTCTAGGAGTAACGTTGGACAACCAATTGAATTTTAACGAACAACAACAACAACAATAACAGAAAGACTTAAATTCCTTCCATGAAGGTATAAAGAAATGTAATAACAAAATCAAGACGTACAAGTAGAACAATTACATTTAATAAACCAAGAGCACGAGTTTTGCATTGAGTATTCATTCGCTGTGATATTGAATAGAAATGTTTTAATGTTTCTCCTGAAGGTAGCGGGACTATCATAAATGTCGATTCCAAGACTAGGATGGGCGAGAAAATGATTCGCAAGTTTCACCACACGATTAAAGAAGGACTCCCCAGCTCGTCGTTTCCCATTGCGTCGGATCTCAAACATAACTGTATCGGAGGATCGGTGGCCGGTCATTTCCGGTGCATAAGAGACAAAGTGGAACAAATCAAAATCTAATTTGTCGTTGAGAAGTTTGTTGAAAAAGGTGAGATCATTGAGTTGGTGGATGAGAGAAATAGGCAACATATTTGTCACACGGAGTAGAATGTTGTAAGGAGCTGTGTAGTTGCGTGTACTCCATCTGAGCGCTCTACATTGTAGCGCTTCTAGCTTGCGGATACTGGTAAGGTCTGGGAACCAGGTTTGAGAAGCATAAAGAATAACTGAGAGAACACATGACTTATACAGTTGGAGTTTGGTAGTGGTAGGGCAGGTAATTGGGATGTTTTTTTTTCAACATGAACAAACTCCTGTTGGCTGAAGATAACTTTTTTCAATATGCGGTCTCCACGACAGGTCATCGGCCACCCATACACCAATGTCTTTGATGCAGGAGACGGTCGATATCTGATGATTTCCAATTGTGAGTTGATATGTGTCGTCAGTTTTTCCGAATAACATCGTTTTAGACTTGTCAGGGTGAAAAGTCATTGAGTTCTCGATAGGATAGAACACTGCACTAAGACCTGTGAGAAACTACAAAAAAGGAATAATATACTCAAAAAACTTACCGGCACTATTTGGGTTGAGCCAAAATACACTCAGCGTAATTTACAAGGTCGTAAGAAGGAGTGTTCTGAACAACGCAGCTCCAATTTGGATCCCCACACTTAGCTACACCAACTGTCAACGTTTACAAATAAAGCAAAACAACGCCTTAAGAACAACTACGGGATGCCTAAGAATGAGTGACATAACACATTTGCATGATATAACTAAAATTCTACCGATTAAAAACACAAGGAAAAGTTTTCTAAACAGTTTCTGACCACCACACTGTTAACTACAAAGTTTTTAATCGGAACATTAGAACAACCCTCGAACGTAAGTTCAAACCTGACATTGAACATTTGCTAAACGAAAACCGGGACAACATCCCAAAGCTTGAATATTTTAACGGGATCAAAAACCTTCACACAAAAGAAGTAAAAAACTTTCTTAATGATAAGTCTAAGCTACTTGGTATAATACGTCCAACTTCATCCCCAAATGAAAGCAAACTTGACCGCAAAACTCGATGCACACTGTCACAGCTGCGATCCGGATACTCAACTCACCTCACCAGCAACAACCACAGACTTAACAACAATATACCCGATGTCTGCCTAAGTTGCTACATAGGACCACACGCCACCGAGCATCTGTTTAACTGCCGGGTACATCCAACTTCATTTATCATCGAGAGATTATGGGAGAATCCCAGGGAAGCTGCCAAACATCTGCAGCTTATCGCATAACCCCACGTAACGGGAAATTTTCTCGGTCCTACCCACTAACTAAAAACTGCCCGATTGAACCGGGCATGGTGTTTCACTCGGTTCTCCGCACGCCGAAAAACTTGGCCCCTAGAACGGGTTTCAATACCACACCGAAACCTCCATCTTGAGTGTGCTATACAGAGGGAAGGTGCCGACACCAGCGCAGAGACACTGTCACTAGAAAACCTGGTTCCCCTTCTACGTCGGTTTTGCCGCTAGAGACCCTGGTGGAGCTGCAGTGATAACTTGAACGATACGAAACCAACATGACCAGACAGGAACGAAATTTCCCTAACTCTGTGTCTCTCTCTCTATCTCTCAAACATAAACAAACTCTCTAATTCAATCAGAAGCTCGAAGCTGAGATCGATGTAGCTATAACAACAACAACAGTTGATGCTGCACAGGTGAAACCATGCACGATTATAGCAAAAATCAAGGACATAAACTGAACTTGCTTTACGACTGTCATGACGTTTACCGAATCATAACTCTTAAGAGGATGCAAAACTTTGTTCCTCTTCCTCGTCATTTTTTAAACTGTGAATGCACCAAGTTAGATCCACAGATACAAGTATGCTTAGGTCTTTCAAAATTTAAGATTGTCTTAAGTTTTCCCCGATGAATTTGAAGTTCGCATTTTGTCCTCTGAGTTTTACGCCAGAACATTTATCAAGTACTAATTCCATTTTATTAGATGACCTTCATCTTTCTATTGCATTAAGATCATCCTGTACTTGCCATTAACTTATTCGAATAGCTAAAATTTTCAAACTGTCGGCAAAGATGTAGGGTTTTGAAAAAAAGTAGACACCAGATAAATCGTTTATGAAGACACGTAACAAAAGCGGTACAAAAGACAGTATAAAACACGCTGAAAAAATCAGTTAAAAACTCAATGATTCTAAAATTGGCTCATTATCTATTGCTTCGAAAATTCGTTTCACGAACGTAAATACATTGGTTTTAAGAGATCGATTGTCTTTTAACGAAATTATGATTACTTTTTGTTAAAGTTCTGCAGAAGGGATTAAAAAGTGTTATGTATATGCATTTCTCTAAAATTTCAGAATCTATATTTAAGGGGACCTGTATTTTTCTACCATCCTTCTTTCTGACTGATTGCTGCTATTTTCCAAACATCAGGGGTTTTGCGTAGTCGCTTAATATTCTTCAACATTGAATGCACAAGATGGTATATATTTCTGGATGTTTTATATTTCAACCTGGTGGTATATCATTTGGGCCTTATGCTTTTTTGACATTCAGTGAGCTCAAAATGCTTAGAATAGTGTTCTTGTCAAACTCGGTTTTCTGATAATAAAATCTTCTATGCTGAACGAAACTTGAAGAGAAAACTGAACAGAAAGTTTCATTCAACATATCAACTTATTCGTTTAAGAGCGTACTTGGTTAACCTTCTTTTATCAATACTTTCGGTAGGCTAGCTGCTAGGTACTTGTACATTTCATCACTCATTTTATTTATGTTGGTGTAGCATACGGCTTTAAAGGGATTACCTTAGAAAAATTCCTTAATGGCTTCATAATCAGCATTACAAAATCTCTGACTTAATGCATCGTTGGTTTGGCTTGATTTACTGTTAATTCTATGGATAGGGGAGATGGATAGCTTCACGGTGTGACCAGTCGAAAAGAACAGCTTCTTGATTGAAATGGATAGCTTCATGGTGTACACAGGTTAGATCGCGACGCCAGGTGCAAACATGCTCAGTTCCGATCAAGATACTCTCCCCTGTTTAAAAATTACTGAAGTAGATTAGACTATAAAATCATTAATGTCTGTGGAATCTGTAATGGCTCCAATGTTGTCAATCACCTACTTAACCTTTCAGGCAGACCGACAGATTCAGATGTCCTCAGTTACTAGACTGGCCCGCTTCAGCTCACATAGCACAGTGGCGCGGGAGAGCTAAACCTTCTAAAAAAATAGCATGCCGGAGGATGCTGACCTCACAACAGCACAACAAAATGAGAGACACATTTAGATGAAGTCCCAGTGTCAAAATGACGTTCAAGTAACCCTCATATGTGATATGCCCAAATATCCCATCGGGGGGCAACGACATTGGATTATGAACGAGACGAAGCTACAATCAAACAAACCCCGCTGCCTTTACAGGAGAAGAGGCCACAACAACAACAATGGGCAATCACGGCTACCCTGATATACCAATGTATCTGAAACTCTAATTCATAACTTTATCACAACAATTGGGCTGGGCTAAAGTGGTTTAAGAACGAAACTTTTGAGAAATAGCATTTGGAAAAAAAAATCAAACTACCAACCTGTTTCGACACTTGAAACTGTTGAAGTGAAAATAGGATCCGGCAAGTCAAATAAAAAACACTTCAATAGATTTGCCACCTCGTGGATATCTTTGACCGTGACAAGTGATCCTGGCTTGACTCTGAAGTGGTCATACTGATCTTTGAGAATATCAACTTTGTTCTTAGGAACTTCGTTCTTGTAGATTCCTGGCATGTCCAGTCCATTTCGTTCCACTGCATCTATGCAATCACGCACAATCTGGGGTAAGGCAATACCGTCACTCAGCCGCGTTTTATCCGTGACAAGGGATAGAGAAAATCCAAATACACCAATCAGCGATCCTGAGAAACAACCGAATGCTATGAATCAAAATTTTGAATCAGCACTTGAAGTTCCATCAGTTGAAGCTATATTTTTCATGGAGCTCAACAGCCGGATGCATGTCATGCTAAACTCATACAAATGAGATGATTTTCGTACCTTCATCATTCTTCGAACTTTTTCTTTTGTGAAACAGTTTCTCCTTCTTCTTGGTTTCTTTAGTTCCATGTTTGGAAAAGTTTCTAAAGAGCTTGTTTTTCTTTTTCAATGCTTTCGCTCTAAACATTGAAAATCACACTATTTAAAAAATTCTAATCATAACAAATGACTTCAATCATTCCTTACTTTTCATCGAGCCCATCTTCATCAGTAGATTCAGTTGCTATTTGGTTAACAGAGCCAGGCACAAAAGATGTGCCTAAGCTAGGATACGGCAGAGATTTTGATATATTATTTTTCGTTTTCAGTATACCAAGAGTTGGCGGACTTCTCGTACTGCTTGACTGATCGGACAACTCATTTGAGAAAAAGCCTTCTCTTTCATCAGAATCACTATCTTCAAGCATGCCTGATGCCTCATTACCAACTTTTACATTAACAAACTGAAAATTAAAAACCGTTGCAATGTAAATACTTCAAACTGTTCGTTTTTAAATTCCTCGTTTATAAATTTTTCAAGAGCTGTGGAATTGACACTTAGCTGAAAAACTAATGAGTACAGGCAAAAAATCTGCTGGCATTGGCTGCTTTTCAGACAAGAAAACAAAAGAAGTTATAGAAAACGAAAATGTAAACGTTTCTAATTTACACGATGTACTTGAGTCTTTCTTGCTTTGAACTTTGATTTGATTATAAATTAGTTGGTTGCACGTGTTTGGTAATTCAGTTTTGCATTTTTTTTCAATTTTGTATTTGCTGAGTTTTGGTTTTCAATTTCTTTCCCGGAGTTTTCCTGATTGCATGTGAAAAGTTGAAGTAATCTAAGATGGCTGTCGATTGTCAAATTGGCATATAACACTCGGCCTCATTTTGCAGTTGCAAAACAAATAAGGAAAAAAGGGATGGGCTATGGTTGTCGGCGCAAGGCTGCTTTGGGGGTGAGGCTCTCATTGTCGTGAATCTTCGTTTGCTGTTTGATTGCAATAATCCGGACTAACAGGTGCTAGTCTAATGGCTGGTATTGACGCAATTTTGTCTGCTATTTTGACGAAGTAAACGCGGATCTGGTCATCATCGGTTTGTTTGTTTCCTGTGATCCGTCCAATTGGCCATTGTCCTCGTGGCGTCATATCTTGAAGAATCCAGACAATTTCTCCTATTTTGATATGCGGCCTCTTCTTTGTCTATACCTCTGCTGACCCATCGAAATGCGATCACGACGGGGTGGAAAAGAGTGGGTAGAGTATCCAGAGACAACACTAGAGCGAGGGAGTCAATACTGGAGGAAGACCTGGCGAAGAATGTAAGCCTGAGTCTTCACAATTCCTTCTGTTTGAACCGGGAGTCGAAGGTGAGGTGAAGAGCTTGCCAAATCAGGCGAAGAGATTGCAAGAGCAAAGGGAGTGGATGCGATCCTATGAACAGCTGAAGGCTTGGGAGGAGATTGTGATCAGCTCTGTGTGACATTCGACCAGAATGGCTAAAATGCAATTTATGCAGGATTCGAATTTTGAGCAGTAAGCCTTCCGAGTTGATGATTTCGAAGGATTAGCGACGTTATTGGAACGTTTAGCCAAACGGTGAGGGCTAGAATATTCTAGTATTTTAAATTTTCAAAAATTCGAATGATGACGTCACGTTTCTGAGAAATGCTGAAACGGCCATTTTAACAAAAAAGCGAGTAAAAAACAGAACAACTTTTATCTGCGCTTGCGAACAGTACGAAAATCGAGATTGGAAAACGACAACGAACTACAGAATAGCAGAGAACGTTCCAAGTTGCAACTATTGTACTGCTACAATAGTTGCAAGGCCGTTGCCAACAACGGTGAAGGGTGAGGACCAGCCTTCCGGATTGGTGTGAAATTGAACTTGAGGAGCTTGATTCACTGGATTCAAGAATCCGGAAGGGTTTCGGGACTGGAACTTTTAGCCTTTTATATAAACTTTTAGCTTCTTGTCATGTCCTGAATTGAGTTTAATTAATAACTGGATTCATTTTGATAAGGATGAGAAGCTAGGAGTTGGGGGAAAGGGTTGATCCATCTTCGATGGAGATGATGATTTTTATCTACTGAACAAAAACAATAGTAATATGATAAGTAGTAGCCCTGTTTTTAGGAGTGACCTCGTGGTCTGGGGATACTGAGACCCAGCCATGAGCTCACTATCTTTGCATGTAATTCAGTTAATTTGAGCGTTCTGGTCGAAGCCGGAGAACAGTAACGTTTTTGTCGACCCGATGTAAGAAAGACCACCGAAAAGTACTGGCTTGGTAGAGACGGTGAAAAACATGCAAAGCTCTGTTTAGACGCTGGCCAGTCGTCTTAAGACTTAGTTTTGTTATCCGTCGATATGTATCTTCCGGGCGAATGTTACATGTATGTTTTTATGGCGCTCCTGGGTGTTATTCTTTCATAACATCATGACCGGCGGAACCGTTAACGAGCACTCCGCGCCGAGCGGATGCTCACATTAACGCCCTTAATAGGCCTAAACTGCCGGGGCGGAAGGGTAGTTCGGAACGCGGAAGCCTTCCGGATTACCGTGAATAGTTTTTTAACCTAGTTAAGACCGAAAATTCATGAACCAGGAAGGGTGGGGGGAATCGCGAACCCCTCGTCCCCTGAGTGGTTTGTGACCAAAAACATTTAAAGATATAAGTAAAACCAAACAAAAAGTAGTATAGTACCCAAGAAAAACAAAAAACATAAAAAATTACCGAAAAAACCAAAAACAGTAAAAAAAAAAGTAGAAAATCAGTAGAAATCATCCCCCCAGACAAGATGTGATTCAACCCCCCCGTTTGTTGTTGATAGATATATTGTTGTTACAGGCATTTATATCAGTCAGGATCGTTACGATCAATTTTGAGGCCCGTTTGTGAGGCTTGTACTGTAGGGTTATTTGAGCATTTAAGCACGTTAATGATAAATTGCGCTCAATCCGGAAGGGTCAGCTGATTTGCGCTCAATTCGGAAGGGTCTTGGGTGAAGACCGATCCGGCAAGCAGTTCAAGGAGCAACAAGAAGGGGCTCAACGACAACAACAATCGACTGTTGGGTATCGTTAACAAGTTTTGTATCCCTTTTGGTACAAAAAGTAAGATAGTAATCTGTGGGGGGCTCGACAGTGCTGCACTGTAGTGACCCTTCACCGAACTGCGAATATCCGAGTTAAGCACCTTAATTCGGATATTAAACAGACCCGGAGGGGTATAGTATTACTAATATTATTATTCATATAGCCTATATTAATAGTCATATATCGTTTTTCAGTGAAAAACAACGAAAACAGACCGGTTTTTAGGGTCAAAATAGCGATATTTTGATCCCCCCACAAGTCGCGATTTTTGAGATATCGATATTTTTTGAAACGGAAAAAAGCGGTAAGTTAGTGTGTTACATCGTAACTGCACTACTGTAATAAGTAGAACCGGTTAACTTTAGTTCGGAAGTGGTTGGAACTAGTTTGGTACCAAAAACCAAATTTTCCCAATTTTTGATAGTAAGAAACACTAAAAATTTAGAAAATTTTTTGAAATTTTTGAGGTAGGACAGTAAAAATAGTTGTTCGGACAACGTCCACTAGTGAATCTATAATTCTTAAAATCCGCTACCCAAAAGCCTTCCGGGTTGCAGAGAAATCGAACATAACGTGTTTGATTTGGTGGATTCATCAATCCGGAGGGGTCCAGGTAGCATAGTTTTTCGCAAAATTTTTCTACAATAGCGTTTTAGATTGGGTCTTTTGCATTGAACTAGAAGAGTATAGGCCTTCTGAGCTCGGATCAATAATTTTTAGGTCGAAAGGACCAGATTTGCGGAAAAAGTTAGGCGGAACCTATAAGAGAGAAAATTTTTTGAGTTCGGAAAAAAGACGTTTTGGTTAATAACTTTGGAACTACTGATCATATCGAGTTGATCTTGGTACCAATAGATCAGAAATTAGCTGAGCTTACTAAAAGGATCAGAAATTTTTCGGAAAAGCGAGCGAGAAAATTTTTTGAGATTGTTTTTAGCAAATTACACAAATCCGGAGGGGTACACCCTTCACGTTTTATAAATTTTTCTGAAAAACCCTTATACCCCTACCAAAAGTTGATAGCGATTGAACTAGGTAACTTAGGACAGTTCTAGACAAAAAGGGAAGGCTGAAGGCACAAGACAACCATAATAGAGTCGAAGTTAGGCAAGTGATAAGACCCTTCACCGTTAGTGTGAATTGTCAAATAAGTGCCTTAACTTCAATCCGGAGGGGTCTAGGAAAGGACCCTATACCCTTCCCAGTTAATTCAAACAGCATAAAAGCAACGCAGAACGTATCCGGAGGGGTATAAGCTGAAATTAAGAAAACTACGAAAAGCTACTTTGACAGAGCTAAGGGCTCCCAATCCGGAGGGGTCGAAAATTTTCAAAGTCAGAGGGGTCCGAATCCGGAGGGGTCTTATAGTTGCTAATTCGGAGGGGTCCAAATCCGGAGGGGTCTACTATTAACTAACTCGGAGGGGTCCCAATCCGGAGGGGTCCACATTCTGACAGTCCGGAAGGGTCATAATTGTGCCAATCCGGAGGGGTATCATTTTATTAAGGACTTAGGTAAACGAAAGAAAGACTAAAAAGCGAGAGGTATTAGGTTATTAATACACAGGCTAGGTATCAGTGACTGCACTGGTAACTTGCCTTTCAAAAAGAACCAGACTAATACAAAACAGGTCCGAACTCGGATATTCGCGACACTAAGTCTAAATTAAAAAGAGCGTGACTCATTGGTGTGGATTGAAACATAATACGTTGTTGGGAAAAGTGACTGCCCTGAGGATTTTAGTAGGTCTAGCTCGGGCAGTCCGAAGGCAGATAGGTAACACAATACTCGGTGGGTGCAATAGACGCCCACTTGAGCGAATAACTGCCTTCAAAGTTTTGTCTGTTTGGTGCAGCACCAAGCAGGGAAAGCTTTTTCTTTAAAAGACAGGTTCGACTATTGTACTGCGACCGACTAAGAGTACAAGACACATACGTTTTTTTATATATACATTCAGATTGTGTCAATATATATTTTTTGTTTTTTGATTTTAAATCAACCTAAACTGTGCTTGATTGGGTAGTGAGTACACTATCTTTTAAAATTGACTGATAACATCATATTGTGCTAGTTTCCAGATCTTTGGACCGATAATCGGTTAGTGTGAATAAATTTTATACAAACTGTACTCTGACAACATACAGGGATTCGTGGTCACTATTTAATAGAATCTGGTGAAATTTATTGTGTTGTGTCATTATTATTTTTAATAAAACTATAAGGTCTCTAGCAATTGAGTCAAGAGTAGGCATAGGAAAGTGACAAATAGAGAATGAGCTTAGACAAGTCAAGGATACCAAAACGAGGTAATAGCTCTAGGAAATTCATACCTGAAAAGTAAAGAAAAACGATGACCGATCCTTTTGTGGATTGGATCAAGCGAA